TGGATGGATCTAAGTTGGAACAATTTCTAGAAACATTTCCTGGAAATAACATTAATCCATATTTTCATTTGTGAATCTACTTTTTAAAAACCAATCTTAAAGATCCCACAAGTTTCATGGCCACTGTTGGGGGCCAACTGTAGCTTCTTGATGCTTCTAGGGGAAGGGTGTAATTTCAGTCCCCTCTTCAGCCAGTGGTTTGGAACTTATGACCCATCTCTAAACAAAAGGTGGTCAGCATTCTGCCCCTCTTTCCTTTCCCCCTTCATTTGAAACTCAGAGTTTCAATTTGGCTAGGGGAAAAACACTTTATATTAATACAGTGGTGCCTCGCTTAACGAGCGCACCATTTAATGACGAATTCGCATAGTGACATGTTTTTTGTGATCGCTAATGCGATCGCATTGCGATGATCGGTAAGCGTTTCGTTTACCGATCTTCGCATTGCTGTTTTTTAAACAGTTGATCGGCGGTTCGAAAATGGCCACTGCATCCGCAAAATGGCAACACACAGTGTTTTCGCGCACTGCCCTTTCTTACCGGGCAGCGAAAATGGCGGCCGGATTGAGGATTCCCCGCATAGCGGTGAGTTTTCACCCCAATAGGAACGCATTAAACCCGTTTTAATGCGTTCCTATGGGGTTCTCCCCCCCCCTGCATAGCGACGAATCCACATAGCAACGTTAATCCTGGAACGGATTAATGTCGCTATGCGGGGCAGCACTGAATACATAATTTTAGAACTACCTACAAAAACTTGGTGCATAGGCTGGGGAAGATGAATTAGCATTGAAAGCTCATTTTATTTTTTGTTTTTCTTAATAGTCCAATGAAGGTATCACCTCTTCCTGCATTTGTATTGTTTTGGGTTCCATACAACCTTGTCCTGGTTTTTTCTAATCTTAAAACTGATATTTTATGGGGAGAAATTCTAGTTGTATCGTTGAAAAAAGTAAACATAGCATCAAGGTGATATAGTGTATTTGTATTTTCATGAAGGTAGCTGTTTACCAGCAGTTCTTAATAATGAAGACATTACTGTGTATCATCATCATCATCTTAGAACGGCATAGCTGAAGAGTCCAGCTCTGGAGACACACAGTCAAACAATCCTATTAATCACTAATAAATCTAAGGATTAAATCAAATATTTTGAACATTTACCAAACCATATCTATTTGAAAAAAGTCATTTCAGGCTTTTATTTCCATCCTGAGCTTTCTACTATGTAGACTTAGATTTCTTGGACTAAAACTCTGAGAAGCCTTTACCACTAGCTCTGCTGACCAGGATTTCTGGGAGTCACAGTGCAAGAACACCTGAGGACCCAAGGTTGGAAACCACTTATGTAGACCACTTTTCTCCAACCTGGTACCTTCTGGGTGGGTTGGGCTCTGACTCCCATTATTCCCCCAAACAGAATCAGCTCATTAAATGCTTTGGATGTTCTAACATATAAAGAAAAAAAAACTAACGGCAGGCATAGTATAGTAGTTAGAGGATTGGAAGTGCCTCAGGAATTAGACTAAGAAAATCTGGGTTCCATTGCTTGAATTTACACCTAGAGAGTAATTTTTGGGTCAGGCATTTATGGCAAATTTTATTCACTAGCTTGTTCTAAGGATGACAGAGGGGAAAAGACAAGATAAAATTCAAATAGACAGACTTCAAGGCAGTATTTACACGATAAAGTAAAAGAGTGCAAGAGGAACAGGGCTGTGTGTATTAGTCCTATCGCCAACATCACCCCATGCATGCTGGAACTCAGTCACTGTCCTTTTCATACAGAGCAGGAAGGGATGGAGGGAGTAGCTATGTATGTTTCTTGGAGAAGGCTATGTGCAGTCAAGAATATATGTATGCAGACTTCCAGCTTTATGCTGCAATGAGAGAGCAGTATACAGTGGTGCTCCGCAAGACGATTGCCTCATGGGATGAAAAACTCGTTAGACAAATGGGTCCAGCAAGGGTTTTGGTGCCTCCCAAGACGGATTTTTCCTATTGCCCTGTTTTGCAAGACGAAGCCCTGGGAGGCTTCAGAAAGCGGTGCTTTGCTGGGGAGGCGGTGTGTGTGCTCTTCTCCGCTCCGGCCCCCCTCCCCGCCTCACAGCTGATCGGTGCAGGGTGTCAGAGGCTTCTCCGGGCTTTCCCATCAGGTAAACAGGCAGTGGAAATGCACCCGGGGAAGCCTCTGAAAGCAGACACAAAGAAAATAAATTGGACATAAATTAAACACTTAATTATACTTCAAGGAAGGAAGTTTGGTATTACTTTGGCATTAAACTTAAGGAATTTTCCTCTTAAAATTATTTTAGCCAAACAACGCTGGGAGTTAAACTGTTATGGCTTTCTACAGTGTTGGCAAAAAGCTCAGAACGTGACCTTGAATACTCAAACTTGGAAGTCTGTTTTGACTTTCCTTTTTTTCTGAGAACTGATTAAAACATAGACAATTAACTTTGGAACATCTAATACAAACATTGAGTGAACGAGGCTGTCAACTTATGTCAGAGACTGCGTTCAAAATTAACCCTGAAGGTGATCAATTTACTAAAGAGGACTTATTGAAGCATTTATTGATGGAATTGGATTGACTGCTCTAAGCTACTGGACATCTTTTACTTGAAGTACAAGTACTTGGTATCTTGGGACATAATGCTACAACAAGGGAAATTTGGGGATGAAACAAAATCTACCCTTCAAGCAATCTTAAAAATAGTGAGATCCCATAACGAAGAGGTGAAATCATTAAAGGAGCAACTAAAGGACTATATTCAAGAGGAGACAGGGAATAATGAACAAGGAAATGTGAGGGTGGCGGACGATGTATGCCAACCAAAGAAGGCTGGAGGAAATCAGAGGGGGAAAATTAGATTTAATTCTAACCCTAGAGCCGAGGAGAATTTTAGCTGTGTTAAATGATAAGGGGAGAAAATCAGCAGAATTTATTAAAAATAGACTGGAAGATCTACTGGAGATATAAAATGTTTTCAGATGACACAAGGGATGGTAGAATGTTTAGAGAAATAGTGACAATAATTGGGAAAAGACAAATAATAGAAGGAGTTACTTAGAAAAATGAAAAAGGGAAAAATATTAAGGTGGCCCTTAACGTTGAAAGTATATACTTCAGGAATTGTACAGGGGCATATCTTATTTATTTAAAAAGGGAATTAAGCTGAAATAAGAGATCAGTAATCGGGGTAAAGGCATAACAAGGTGGTTCTTAAGGTAAATTGAAGCTAGATATAATGATGAGGCAAAACAAATAGTACCATATTTTTCACTCCATAAGACGCTGTTCCCCCCCCCCAAAAGTGGATGGAAATGTGTGTGCGTCTTATGGAGCGAATACTGCCCCCCTGCCCCATCACTGCCTTCCCAGGCCTCTAGAGGCCTCAGAAGGCCCCACCCCACCCTCACCGTCACCGTCAAAAGCTTCCCTGGTTTACAAAGCACCAGCACCCCGCCGCTTCTCCTTCCTCCTCCTGCCGCATGCCCTGTCCACGGAGCTCCTTTGACCTGCAGGCCCCACCCAGGGTGTTTGGTGGTGCTTACTCATGAGTAGACCTGCACCTCCTGCGCCACTTACCCATGAGTAGACCCGTACCTTTTGCAGCCCTTACTCATGAGTAAACCCGCTCCTTTGGCAGCCCTTACTCATGAGTAAACCCACACCTTCGGCCCTACCATCACCGACACCCTCCTACCTTAATTGCCGCTGCTGAGATCTTTTGGCCTCGGAGCCACACATGTAGAAATGGAGGCTGCCTGCCCTTTGCAAAGATGGTGGCTATGGCTTCATATAGGGTTGGGAAGCTGCAGCTGCCATCTTTGGAAAGGGCACCCTGGATTCCCTACAGCACCGCTGGGAGGTATGTTTCTATGTTGCTTTGTTTTTTGGTGAGTATTTTTTTTTGTTTTCCTCTTCTAAAAATTATGTGTGTCTTATAGTCAGGTGTGTCTTATGGAGCGAAAAATACAGTACTTAATGAATATACATTCGAAGATATACTGATACTGATATAGACATAGAATATGTGGAGATAGAAATAGCCAAACAGAACAAAAGAAAATCTATATAAAATGCTTTAGATAACGTTTATTATGTGTTAGGAACCCACTCAGTTATTATTGGTATAAAATACGTACATTTGTTGTTTAAATCACCTCAAAATTATATAGATTTGGAACCAGAACTACTTTTATTAGATGTGTTTCTAGAGGATTTTGAGAACATTGTCCCTGAGAGCAATATTATGATAGTAGCCAATATTGTATACTAAAATACACACACGAACGGTTTAAATGTTTTTTAAAATGTATAGATTTTGAGCAGACAGTTATAAGCAACCCATGTAACATGATGCTGAACAATCACGGATTGAATGTAGATAGACTGAAAAACTAATAAAATGTTTTTTTAAAGAATATATGTGTGTAGAAGCCTCCTTCAGCCCACCCCAGGAAGTCCTGGGAATTAGTTTGTGGCTCCATGAATTGGTTCCTCCTAATTCGGCCATAATTATACCTACTGTTAGAATTTTTGTGGATGTACAAGAAAAGCTAAGACACCAGCCAGAATCCTATTAGTCACACTCATTAGCATAAATTTCTATAGGAAGTCACCATTAGTTAAAGTGTTGATGGTTGTATTTTGGGTCATATGCATGATGCAAAGTAGTACTGTGCCCACTTAACTGGCGGCAATTTTCTGCTGAAATTTGTGTTGTTAGGATTATGCCAGTATTCAATTGGATTCTGGCCACCTTAACTTTAGAGCTGCTCTTATAGTCTGCAATGAAACTGACAGTGTGTTTTGTGCTACTGTTTGTCTGCTTCCTTTTGAGCCACTACATGCTGTGAGAGAAATGTATTTGTAGCAAATGGGCTAATAGAGTATTGGGAACAGCGGTGGAGCAGTAGTGTAATATTTTATTGTGCTTAACAGTATGTTACATGTTTTGTCTAAACTTTTGTTCCCATATCATTTTCAACAGTATCAAGCTACATGCCACCCAGCTATATTCAGAACGACTGATGAAATTTTAAAGTAAGAATGCATTCTGTTTGTCGGGAATGGGTTAAATTATTTACCCTAGATGGAATGTTAATTTCAATACACCTTTTCATTCAAGCTGTGGCTCTTAGTGATTTCTGTCTTTTAATGATGGCCATGCATCTTGTGATAGCATTCACACATTTATTCTGAACTTCATTGTATTACAAATGTGATCCAGTGAACAATACACTCAAATTAACTCCACTACTGGCATTTCTAAACTAAATGCAAGCCAGTCCATGGCTAATAATGGGGAAAGGCCTTGCTACATTCATAGCACTTACATGTTTTCTCTAAGTATTGTGGCATACTTGGGTCCTTTTTAAAGAGAAAGGCAGGATAAAAATATTTTTGATAGATTGATAGATAAGAGGGATTATGTAGGGAGTTTGGGCATGAGCCATTTTAGGACATTAAAGGCTGAAACCAAAACAGAGCTTGGAAACTATGCTATTTTGGACTACAACTATCAAGCAAAATGGCTACTGGCAATGCTGCCTGTGAGATTCTCAGAATTGTTAATTCTTTATGAATGTTTGGTTTACCTAAGAATTTTCAAAAGATTTATGGTTGTTGCAGTACTAGGTAAGGCTTAGATAATGCTATTAATGTTGATAATATTCCTAAATGCGTTGTATGCTTCTGAAGTACGATTATTTAACAGGAAGCAACAAGGGGGTGTACTTGAGAATTATTCATTACAGCAAAATTACTTCAGGTAATATTCAACACTTACCACATGGTGGCTTCAAATCTTTTTGTGTGTGTTTTTACTTTAGCCCTTTGTAAAGGGTTCAGTTGCCTTTACACTTTTAAAAGCCCCCAGTGGCTTCAAATCTTTTTTTGTGCGTTTTTACTTTAGCCCTTTGTAAAAGGTTTTTATTCAGTTGCCTTTACACTTTTAAAAGCCCCATTGTAAGGTGTCCTCATTTTTACACAAATAAAGAACTGATTGTGAATAACTTGATTGTGGGTGTTTTAAATTTTAAAAATCTGCAATCAATGGCAAAAATACAAAAATGACTGCTTTTAAAAATTTGTCTGACCACAGTAACGAAATTAAACTATGAAACCTGAAAGGTAGATTTATTTGTAGAAAATCTATAGTAAAAAAACCTGTATTATTTTGGCATTAATGTTTACAATTAATTTTTCTTTATATACTATGAAACCTGAAAGGTAGATTTTATTTGTAGAAAGTCTATAGTAAAAAAAACCCTGTATTATTTTGACTTTAATGTTTACAATTAATTTTTCTTTATATTTAATGCATTTTCACTGGTTTCAAAGCATCTCCAACTAGTCATTAACCCATCTTTCAGCATGAATAGTAGAGATTTCTCTGTACTGTATTCAGCCTGCCTCCTCAATAACAATATGGCATTAAGCTTAGGAGTAGCGATGGCAGTGATTTTTGAAAATGGAGCATTGTTAATGTGATTTGGATCTGGTTTTAATGGTGCAGTGGCCTTCTGCCAGTGGTAACCTTTTCTGCTAACAGTGTCTTTCCTCTTCCCTGAAGTTTTCCCTACCATATTAAGAATTTAGGCAAAGGCATCCTAGGTTTCCTATTGCCTGTTTGCAATAAAAAATCTGGAAGTACTTGGAAGCTCCATGGTTAACATGGAGGCCTATAGTTCTTTTTTATCATATTTCCTTAGGATGAACTTTAAAAGATTGCAACTATTACTGTTATCTATTATCATAAAGACTATCAGCATGCTTAGAAGCCATTGGTGTATGAAAGGAAGGATGAACCCTCAACTTTTTCACGAGGGGAAATAGGCAGTGACAATAGAAGAGCTTCTCTAGGCCAGGTATTTCCAAGCTTTTAAAAACTCTTAGAAGATTGCTCATGCTTTTCTAGGAAACTTGGAAAGACTGAACCAACTATGAATGATGATAGGGGAATGAGAAGAAAAACACCTGGATGCACCTAAACTGAATGCAGCATGCACCTACAGAATTCTGCTGTATATCTTTATTACCAGGATAGATAGAGGAACTACTGAATATTGGAAGAATGAGGTTCAGGGATGCTAGTAGTAGTATACTTTATTACGGTCAAAGACCAGTAAAACCAAATCAATATAAAATAGATACATATAATTATTGTTTAGTAAAGTCGGGCAGGGTAATAAAATTCCATTAAAACATGATAAAACAACCCCTTTTTTTCCAATTAATAATATAACAATGTTTTAAATATAACACTGCCAGGGATGCTGAAGACATGAGGAATTTCCTGGCCGTTTTGGCAGTTGTGTAGATGCCAACCAACACCCCCAATTAATAATATAACAGTGTTTTTAATATAACACTGCCAAGGATGCTGAAGACATTTTTGGCAGTTGTGTAGATGCCAACCAACAATTCTTTCAAAATGTATCAGTTTTTTGCAGATTGCAACATCACCCAGATAGCCTTTCTATTTAAACTCTTAACTGATATTTTTAGCATGAGACTTCACATGCAATAAGCTAAGTATGGTACTAAACAGGTACAGTGGTGCCTCGCTTAACGGGCGCCCCGTTTAACGACAAAATCGCATAGTGACGAAGATTTTGCGATTGCTTTTGCGATCGCTTTGCGATGTTCCCTATGGGGAAAAATTGCTTTGCAATGATCGGTACCCTGTTTCGCTTACCGATCATCGCAAAGCGATGATTTTTAACAGCTGTTTGGCGGTTCCAAAATGGCTGCCGGGTTAAAAAAAATGGCCGCCGCTGTTTTCTTGGACGGATTTGTCGCTTACCGGGCAGCGAAAATGGCCGCCGTATGGAGGATTTTCGCTTTAAGGGGAATTTTAAGCCCATAGAAATGCATTGAAAGGGTTTCAATGCATTCCTATGGGCTTTTTAAAATCGCATAGTGACGAAATCGCTTTGCAGCGATTTTTGCTGCACGGATTATTGTTGCTATGTGAGGCACCACTGTATTGTGTTTACAGTTGTAAGTGGGGGATTTGCAGTTGCTAGAAGTAAGTGTGATGTCATATTAATGCTGGGTTTGTTCTAACAGCATTAATAGTAAAGAAGGTTATTTATATACTCAGATTTAAGAAAAAGGCAAAGCATAATTAGTGTTTTCTTCATTTCCAGAGTCAGCATAATTACTAGATGAGTTAAGGTCACAGCTCAAGGCATGGGAAGAAAGTTCTTGTTTATTTTCACCTCCTCTAAATTAATGGATGTGTGATTGGCACATTCATAATCTGACTTGTCATAATTAATTTTTTCATCGCTCAGGAATGTTCTGCTAGAAACTGATGGAGCACCAGAAGTAATGATTGTAATGCAGGTGTTTACACAGTGCTTTGTTCAAGCGTATTATGAGAGTAATGAACAGGTTAGTCAAGTTCCATTATTCCTTATGTTAAAGTATGAGATGTTTCGCAATTTTGATAAAAAGAGGCAATTTCACATTGTAAAATGCAAAAGGAATATAATTTTCTATTGCCACAAATGAATGCCAGCATAAATGTGAGCGTCTTGAATGGCATCAAACAGAAGCAGGTACAAAGCCAATAAATCTTTTTCAAAGCACAAGTTTGTAGATGATGTCGTGGTTACAACAATGTATCCAGACTGTCCTTATCATGTGTTATAGAATAACAAATCTGTTTTGATGTTAATGGACTGGTGTAGTACCTTTAGCTGTGTCTGTGTAACACAGAGATGTTTATTTTTCCCCATAATCTTATAATGTTTGTTTTTTTTAAATCCTTTTCTGTTCCAGATGTAATCCTTATCATGTGTTGTAGAATAACAAATCTGTTTTGATGGTAATGGACTGGTGTAGTACCTTTAGTTGTATCTGTGTAACACAGAGATGTTTATTTCTTCCCATAATCTTATAATGTTTGTTTGTTTTTAAATCCTTTTCTGTTCCAGATGTAAGAAAAATGACTTTTAAAGAAACTTTTAGTCCTAGAATACATCAGCCAACACAACCATCTTGGGTATTCTGGAAGTGGATAGTTCCCCCCCAAAAAAGTTACTTTTCCTGTCTCTACTCTGTTCCAGAGCTTCAATGACTCTTGTCATGGATTTGCACATGGAAGAAACTGTAACTGAGTTCATTGATCCTGCCTGAAGGACTTAACCTCATGTGTCAGAACAGGGTGTCTGACACTTGAACATATCTCCCTAAGAGCCCTTCAGAATTGTATAGACCTCTAGAAAAATATCAGAAGCCTGTGTTCATCACAGCTGGCGTTTATCCCCAAAAAGGGTGAATTCTAGAATGAAACCAGACAATCATTTCCAACCATATCAAAATGCATCTGAGTATAAAGTAGAGGTCTTTTTTTCCTTGTTGCAATAGTTCCAGGCAACATTAGCTTGTCTAATTCTATGATTTATCTACATTGCTTCTGTTTATCATAAGCACAGAAATACTTCAAAGTTTGCAAACATCCAAAAGTCTTACATCTGTGGAAAAAATTATAGGTACAAATGCTTAAATATAATTTGTCATCCAAAAGTTGTGGAACTATGAGAAGTTGCAAAGAAAAAAATACATTCAAAAACAAAACTGAAGTTGTAGGCAGAACGTAAATCGTGTTTCAAAATTACAGGATAATACATCCTAAAAATACGCAAGTCCACAGCCCAAAAAGACACATTTAAAAAGCAAAAGACAACTGAAACACATTGCTTAAAAGTAAAAAGCATTATAACTTTAAGTAATCTTTAGCCTTTAAGCATATTACTGGACACACATGAAAAATTATTAAATAATGTCACCCAACCAAGCAAGCCATGTGCTAATTTGCATCTATGGAGGGAAATCCATGATAATTGTTGCTGACTTCTGGAAATGAAGCCTGCTGCTGCGCTTCTACCCTGTTTCCCCGAAAATAAGACCTAACCTGAAAATAAGACCTAGTACAGTAGTGGCGAACCTTTTTGGGCTCACGTGCCCAAACTGGAATAAGCAACAAAAACAGCAGGCGGTGTGTCACCGCTGTGAGAGTGGCAGCAGAGGACCCGGAAGTGGTGGAACCAGAAGTGGCAGTGGAAGGGGGGATCCCAGTACGGAGGTGCCTCAAGGCTCTGGAATTCCAGAATATTGTAGCCATAGGACCTGTGAACTACACCTCCATATTTACACATTGCAACAAAAACACATTCAACTATCAGGATAGTTATGATACAGTGACCTCGCTCATCTGACGATGCGGCTAATTGTTTTGCAATGACTATAATGCACTATTGTTCAAACTTCAGTTTTAAAAGCACTTCCATTTTCAGGGCTACATTTTCTACACACACCCCTTAATTATTTTACTGCTCTATACAAACAAAGTTTCACATATTGACACCCGTAGCGTCTGATCCATCCCTGTAGTTTGATATCTGTGATATATTTCAGGTTGCGTTGTCTTGCTTTAAACAACTCAGGTGACTGAGAAACTGAAAGATTAATTTTTGTGCTACATAATTATTTCATGCTTTTCTTGTTTCCAAAAATTTCCCATTTTACATACTGCATTTGAATTTCCACATTTGGAGAGTGTGGACTATTTGTTTATGAAATGATGAATCTTTGCCTTGGAACTGGTACAATAAATGGCTCTAATTAGCTTAGTGATTAAATCTCTCTTTTGGTTTCAGAGGGTATGAATTAGGGCTGAAATTACAGCTGTCTAAGTTAATATATAGAAATGCCACACCCATTAATTTTATACAGCTCTGTTTACATGCCAGCACCACATTTTGCAGCCTTGGGGTGGCAGGGATGATTGGGTGGAGGAGTTAAATTAGATCCCACACCCTTCAAATAACTAGGAGGCAACTATGCTATAGAAGCTATGAGCACACATTGTTTTTAAGATGTTTTAAAATATTAACTGGGTCTTCAGTATTTTACTTACATAAGTTTTCCTTTCTACTGTTAGCATTAGAAAAGAATTTGGGTATTGGTTTGGCATGCATGCTTCAACAAAATGTATATTTTGAGTTCAACACAGCTTCTTCATGTTATTGAAGACCACAGAATATCCAGATGTTCTCCAAATATTGTTGCATAAACTGTTCAGCCAAATTCTAGAGATTCTTTGGAAAAGATTTTTGTGCTCTAAGCAACTTCTTGTAATCTACCATTTTTGTCTGTATTCCATGTTTTAGATTTGTTAAATAGTTCCAGTATAAGATCTATGGAAACCCTAGATGGCAAAAGTTATATTTAAGAGTATTGCAGAATCCCACTGTTAACATGGTCCAAGGGAGATGCAGTTCTTAAACAGTAACTTTCCTGTTTCTGATGAGATCTCCACTGCTTATTTTCCATCTCTGAGAACTATACATTTTTATTTCTTTTTCTGTTGTCTTATCATATGATTGAGATACAAGTCTTGTTGAAGACTTTGGTGTAAGATTTCAACAAGAATTTCTGAAATGTTAGTTTATATTCTGCTTACCACCCCTGTGCATATTTTATTCTCTATGGCTGATAAAAAAGACTTTGAAAGGTGGTGAGACTGGCATTGTAAGAATACAACCAGTAGTGTTCTTTTTAAGTAGAATTTTTGTGCTAATTTCTGTATTTTCTCATCTGGTAAATTGTATAGATTGGATTGTAAATTACTCCTTTGTGTTATTGGTAAAAAAAACTATAATCTTATTTTAATTATTGGTTTCATTTTAGTGTAAGTTTCCACTGAAGGCTTACTTTCCTCATCACCCACATTCACTTGTGATGGCTTTGCTTAAACAACCTTCAGGTAGGGTCACCTGTATTACCGTATTACCAAATGCTGTTGTTGTGTTTATTTTTGTCATCAGTAAACTTAAAAATCTTGTGCTGTGTTAGAACTTTCTCACATATTAATATAAAATAAAATGCATATTTGTTGTAAGCTTTTAAATAGTGATGGTAAGTGCTTCTTTCATAGATTTGACAGGTCATGGACTACATCAACATTTGAAATGTATTGCTGAAATTCTCAAAACAGTGGAAGCCAGGGGCATCCGGTAAGTAACATTAATTACATTTGCTTCTTTGCATTTTTCTTTTCATTTTTATTTTCAGCATCCTTGTTTATTTGAGGCATCTTGGTTCTCTAAACTTCGGTGTACTTAATTTCAGTTTCATTTATTTAGTCACTGCCTGAGAACAATTAAATAAAACTATTTCCACTGCACGTGGAGGTTTTTGTTTGGTTTTTTGTTTTCTGGGGGGAAGGCAGGCAGGTGTACAGGATAATATTAGCGTGTTGCTATTCTTACATCTCTTGTGCAGTTCAGAAAGCTTCACAGCTTCCAGTTCAGCCTCTTTTGAGTACTTTGGATGGAATTTAAAATTCTAATACATGGGAAAGCTGAAGTACTTGTTGGTGATGTTCCAGATCTTGTGATGACCTCTTTGATACCTGGTTTTTATTCGTTCATTTTGGAGAATGGGCTGATACTGCGGCAGAACAGTTGCTGGTGTCACCAGCTGAATCATCTGATGCTTTTCTGTGGCTTTTGGCATTTTACTATAATCCAAGTAATGAGAACCAACAGAGGACTGAAACAATGGTAGGTAGCCTCCTCTTTCTCTGTATCTCTTTGTATCACAATTCCGTAATTGGTATGCCTGAAAAATGAGGTATTGATGTAGAACAGCCTGTTTGGCCAAGGCGTAAAAGGAATCCTCACAGAACAGTTTCAAAATCATTTCTAACATGGTGTGTATGTGAATCTCTGTTCAGCCAGTTTCATCTGTTCACTGCTGGATGTTGCTTTTGAACCATTCAGTGACAAGATTTTATATTTAGTGGACTCACAATGTGCCTGTGTGTTTAAAACTATAGATGGAGAGAGTTTTTTCATGAAGCTTCTCAAGAGTGATGTTAAGTTTACTCACTGTTAACTCTTGAATAAAAGCCCAATTTAGTCATTACTAAGCAGAGTAGATATTATTGATTCTGTGTTTCTGGTTTCATAACTCTCCTACACAGGGAGTAAATCAGGTCTGAAATGGAGAGTCTACAATCTTGGATGGGCAGGGATCTTTCCATGTGAAATGGGGCACTGATATGCCAGGGATCAAATTCTCAGGAAAGCACCCACAAATAAAGGGATATTGGCATTAGTTAGCTGATTTCTGTCCCGCCTTTCAATTTCAAAGGCTTCCCAAGGAGACTTACTTATAAAATACATCAGCTGCCATTACAATGGGGCTAATTCTACCTCTTCTGACACCTGGCATTGGTTTCGGATAGTATGGCTCCTCTTACTCTGCCCCCAGTATTCAGCAGGTCATTGTGGTTGTTTCTACCAACAGTGTTTTGCCATGTTCCTTTGAGTGCTGGCAGTTGGATGGATATAGTGTTGGCTTGTTTGTTCTTTACCCTCAGTTAGGACTGCAGGTCTTATCACCAGCCAAGGATCAAGAGACATAGAACCTGGTGCCTCAGCCGCGTTTCTGTGATGGCTGTTCGATATTGCTCTGCTTTTCTGTGTACCTTCCCCGGGGATGGCACATGTTACTCTATTAAGACTGCACTTCTATGTACAGTGGTGCCTCGCTTAATGATGTTAATTTGTTCCAGCGAAATCGCTGTAGAGCGAAAGCATCGTAAAGGGAAAATAACCCATTGAAACACATTAAAACCCGGTTAATGCGTTCCAGTGGGCTAAAAACTCACCGTTCAGCAAAGATCCTCCATGCGGCGGCCGTTTTCAGTGCCTGTTTAGCAAGGAATCCGTCCTAGAAAACTGCGGGGGGCCATTTTCTTCAGCCGGGGGCCATTTTGGAACCCAACGTTCAGCTGTTCGCTGATCGTCGTAATGCAAAAAATTGGTTCCTGAAGCAGGGAACCAATAATCACACAGCGGATCTTGCCCATACAAAGCATCATTTTGTGATCACAAAAAATGCATCGTTAAGTGGGTTTGTCGTTACACGGGGCAATCGTAAAGCAAGGCATGACTGTACAAAGTAGAATCTTCATGATAATGCTGTGGATAAGAGTGGCTCCACTGAAGTGTGATGATGATGATTATTAGTAGGAGCAGTACTCAGGAGGAGGATCAGGAGGTTGAGGCACTGGGAAATTCAGAGGTGGTCTTTGGTTGGCGGAAAATGGCCTATCATTGATGAGAACCATAACTTTAATTATTACAGTATATCTTTAACATTTGAAATTGTCTTTCATTAAAATGCTGCTAGTAGTTCTGTTTGCACCTTAATTTCTGTAGATGCTCATGTCCTAACTTGATCTTTTCCAGTAAATAGTCTCCCCTCCCACACTTTTGTTTCCCCAGTTGCAAAACAGATGTCTGATAAATGAAGAATAGTTAATTCCGCTTTTTAGAATACTGAAGTATGTGGTGTGTGCAGGACAGAGGGAAGCAATGTATTTAACCCTTAAGCAGACAAAGGAGGAGAGTGAGAGTTTAGTCATTAAATGCATGAGATGCTAAGTAGAGAATACATTCTCCTGACCCCTGCTGCTACTGCTCATTTACTTGGCCTCTCACTCCAGTCACAACCTAAAATACTGCCCAGGAAGAGGTGAATGTAGTCCATCTCCTCCTCCTCCTCCTGTTTACCTCATAACTTTTGGCTTTCTTGCATGGGACCAGTGAATGGGTAGAGATAGCAAGAAGGAGGAAGAACGTGCATAGTTTAGGCACCGAAAGATAGACAACAGGGCTGACTCCTAGCTCCGAGTGTCATGGCATCGGAATCACCATCTTGTGCCTGGCCAACAGGGTGAGGCTACTAGTGCACTCTCATAACTCTATTTGTATCTCTATAGATAGGTGTATACCCAGTGTGGTATAGTGGTTAGGATTCAATCATGGGACCAGTGAATAGAAACTCGCTGGAGGATGGAACTGGTAAAACCACTCCTTGAATACCTCACTTACATTGAAAACACTGTTAGGGTCACTATAAATCAGTTCTGACCTGACAACACAAAACAATCGCATATAGATGGGAGTAGGCCTGGGCCTATAAGACAGAAGTGTGAACTTACGTAGAGTTTTTTGTGTGTATGTTCCTAAAGGGTGCATTTTGCACATGAACTAAGGGGTGCTCACCAGCCCCATCCATTTTCATTGTTTTCAGCCTGTGAAAGGAAAAGCCTGAAATTGGGGGCTGCCATGTGGATATGAACCAGAACACACAAAGAACTTGATATCTTTTTGTGTGTTAAAACCAATGAGAGTGGGCAAGTATGCTCCCTTCATTGCTTGAGGAGAATGCACACTTTAAGAATGCCTGGATAGGGCTTCACCATCATACGAGTAGGTAGATTGCTTGATGGTAGTCAAAAGGAAAGCAGAGTGTGAGGATAATGGAAATGTGAAACATACTATAAAAGCAATAATTGCATAGATTCTTCCCACTGTCACTGGCTCAAGAGGCCTTCAACTGGTCACAATGCATCAGGTACATTAAGGGGGGACAATATGGGTGCTGTCCTTGTCCTAGCTGAGCAGGTTTTTGGGCAGGGGAGGGCTAACTATGCCATGCAGCAACAGTGGGAAAGGTCTGGGGCAGCAGTATGGATAATCAGCTACTAGGATACTTCAGATTCCCACACCAGTGATTCACTTCAGCTTTTATGCTCGATCCGAGCACCAATTGGAGCAGGCAGGATACTTCAGATTCCCACACCAGTGATTATGTGTAAACTGTTTGTCCCAGCAGAAAAGCTCAGCTGATTTGATTACTCAGTAGTGAAGCGGGGAGGGCTAATAGGCTAAAGTATAATCAGTAATTAAATACCTAGATATCTAAAATGCCATACAGTGGTGCCTCACTTGACGAGGATAACCCATTCCAGCGAAATCCTTGTCAAGGGAAATAAAAAAGCCCATTGAAACGCATTGAAAATTGCTCAATGCGTTCCAATGGGCTAAATACCTCAGTGTCCAGCGAAGATGCGCCGTAGGGCGGCCATTTTCCGATGCCTGTGCAGTGAAAAATCCATCCTAAAGCACAGCGGGGAGCCATTTTACACAGCGGGTGGCCATTTTGAAATCCGATGATCAGCTGTTTTGATCGTCGTAATGTGAAGAATCGGTTCCTGAAGCAGGGAACCGATCATCAGGAAGCAAATTTTGCCCATTAAAACATCGTTTTGCGATCGCAAAAGCGATCACAAAAACTTGATCGTCAAGTGGATTCTTCATTTAACGAGGTAATAGTTAAGTGAGGCATCACTGTACATAGAATTTTTTTACATACAACTCTTTAAACCTGTAAATGTTTCTATGAATGTTAATGGGAGGAAAAGTCACATTAAGGAAATCACAGTGGCTTAAAACCAGAAATAAGGGGTGACAAGAAAGATATGTGTGTATTACTTTGTTTTTCCGCTTCTCTGTTTCCTGCAGTGTTTTTTATGTAGCAAATATTTTTAGGTAATTGAACTTACAATCTGGGCAATAATTTCCTTAAATGCACAGACTCAAGTTCTGCTTATATTTTGGCTCCAGAAGTTGTTTGTTCTGGCTGTTGCAAGAGGTAAGGGGGAGGAGAGATTCTTTGCAAACAATACTATAAGGAAACCAACCAACCCCCTCCCCCTATCATTTCATATCAGAATTTTTTATCAGAGGAGGTCAGATTGCAGGGGGATTGATTTGTAGCTGAAGGATTGTAGTGAGTCCTCAAAGAGCCTTCTGTTTCTTTTCCCACAATATAACAATCTTTTTTCATTCTTCTCTATGACTTTCACCATTTCCTTTTATACAAAAAAAGGTCAAACCATGGCTTATGGCCTTAGTGCTTAACCTTTCTAGACTAAGGGGTTTTTGTTGTTTTAAATCTTCATTCTATTTTATTTATGTCTTTTCCTGATCCACAATCTCTCCTCCTTGTCTGTACCCCCCACCCATTATTTACACGAGGCATCAGATTTGTGTTTGTCAGCAAAACTCATAAAAGGAATGTTACTTTTATTCCTTATGTGGGCATTATTCCTTCTAATGATTTTCAACAGGTTGAAGCAAGATCTGTATATGATCAGCTAATAGTCCTGTCAAAAGCTTCAGCCATTTCCATCACAGATCTGCAGACTATATTTAACAGCAAAATAAATGTTCGACAACCTGGTACCAAACAGCTGCTTATGCACCTGATTATCAGCTTTCTACTCTTTACCCATAATGGAAACACAATATCTCGAGAATTTGCCAATGTAAGTATTTCTCTTCTTTTTTTCTGTTACTACTGGTGACATTATGTTTTTGAAGTTCCTCTGTGAGATGGGCCATCATTTTGCACAATATAATCTGTGATCCAGGAAGCTCCTTTGTTTAGAGGAATTATACTTGTACACATCAGAGCCTATGTGACACCTTGCACCTAGAGCAAAAACAGGTTTAATTTCTAAATTCGAATTGAGATGTGTGCATTCAAGGTAGTGTTGTCTTGTTCAAGAGGACTGACCTTTTCCTAAACTTCTCTGGCCTTCTTGCACTGCCTTGAATTCTCTAAAATTACAGTGGTGCCTCACTTGATGAGGATAATCCGTTCCAGCAAAATCGCTGTAGAACGAAATCGTCGTCATGCGAAAGTAAAAATCCCATTGAAATGCATTGAAAATGGGTTCAGTGCTTTCCAATGGGCGAAATTCCTCAGCGTCCAGCGAAGATCCTCCATAGGATGGCCATTTTCAGTGCCTTTAAAGCAAGGAATCGATCCTAAAACACAGCGGGGAGCCATTTTACACAGCGGGTGGCCATTTTGAAAGCCCGACGATCAGCTGTTTTGATCGTCGTTAAGCAAAGAATCGGTTCCCGAAGCAGGGAACCGATCATCATGAAGCGATTAAAACATCGTTTTGCGATTGCGATCACAAAAACTTCATTATTAAGCGATTTCCTCATCTAATGAGGTAATCATCAAGCGGGGCACCACTGTATATATCTCTTAGCTTCTTGTGAATTGGTTTGTTAAAGACCTGGAACAGTTCCTGTTTTTGGTGGTAAATGACGACTCAGTCTTTTTGTGAACATTGACAGATTTAATTTAACGTTGGGTGAATCTACTACAACTTCTATCTGTTCAAAACAACTAAGATGAGGTTAACTCTCCAAATTGCGAGGACAATAATTCTGTCTATAAATTGACAAGGTTCATTGAGGGGCTGACCCAAAACTTTCCTGATCTGTGGGCTTTCTCAATGGAGCACTCTGAACCACACATATTGTCCCACAGTAAGGGTGTCTGGCCCAATCTCCCTCCATTGGTGGGTGAAGGAAGGGTCCAGCCGAATCACCTTCCTTGAGTGACCTTGTCCCCGCGGGAAGACCACGACCGTCCATTCTAGGGCTTCCTCTGATGTCTTCTTTATATTTATCTGGGTCAGGTAGCAGCCCTCCTACCTTCAAATTAGGGAAATCTTCCAACAAACCGCACGTTGTCTCATATTCAACTTTCTCCTTCTCTCCTCCTTTCTTCTCCCCCTCTCTTCTTCCTTCCCCACTTAGTATATTGAACTGTCTCCTCCCAGTTTGTTCTCCTATCTCCTCCCACACAGGCAAAATTAATCCTTCTCCCTCTCTCTTTTCCACTAGGCAGATTTCAGTCTTCTCCTCTTTCCCCTTTGATTCCCTTTCCCCCCTCCTCTACATTCAGCTCCTTGTTTTCTCCTGTCTTCCCTACTTATATATTTTCTGCTCAGGCGTTTCTAGCTGAGGGGACGGCTCACTCTGTTCTTTCTCCTTTGGGTCTACCGCTCCTTCACACTTCTCCTCTGGACATAGCCTAGTGTGGCTACAGGACTTTACATGACTTGAAACAGGGCCTTGTTTATGGGTTTTCTGCAAATGAAGAAAGCAAATGAATCACATGTACCTGTTTGTTCTCTTGCTTTGTGGGCAAGATGAAAATCGGACAGAAGAAGAAGAGTTTCTTGCAACTACTTGTCTAGTTGTAGAGATCTTACACAGATGAAGGTTGCAGAAGAAATGTCCAGATGTACCAGCTTTTTAAAAAAGATTCTGTTCTTTCCTGCATTTGTTTGGATAAAGTCGATTTGGTTCTGGACTGAATCTTTACAGTTAGCAAGAGGCTCCAAGGTCTCAGGAAAAGATGTTTGTCAACTCTGCTGATTGGTATCATTTAAATTGGAGTTGCCAAAAAGTGAACCTGACCCTTTTTCTATGTAAACCAAGAGCTTTACAACTGAGTTACGTCCTGGCCTCTCTACTAGAAGGGGCAGATTAATAAATACAGCTGTATAAAATTAAGGAGAGCTTTGAAGATAGCAGTATTTAATCTTACTATGTGTAAGTAGGACAAAGGCTGGGTGAGGTGGCAGCAAGGAAAGCTAGCCTGTTTTTCCTCAAGAAGTAAATTTATTTACTTTGTTCAGCTACTTTCAGTATAATAACTTGTCCTTTGGCAGCCTTACTCACTAAGGCACCTTATTAAGAATAAAGTAAGAATCTGTCGCAAGAGAAAATAGGTTGGATACTACGACAGGAATAGATTTGAATGTTCTGTTTCCAGTATTCTACATGATTCACGGTGGTTTCTCTAAGTATACATGTCCAAATATTGTTCAGTTGCCTGGGTCTTTGTTGGGATTTAATTTCAGCAGGCCCCGTGCTTCAGAGCTATTATTGCTGAAGCTGGGAATGCATGCCTTTGGAAGACAATATAGAAGTTCAGTTTTTTCTTTACTGAGTAATGACTAGAGATGGGCACAAAACACTTCATGTTGGGTCGTGCCAAGTCATCAGCAGGAGGAGTTGGGGCAGGGATTCCTGCAGCACTGCTTATGAGTGGCCAGCTGCTGGAGAAGGCGGAGAAGGGAAGTCAGTGTTCCTGCTGGGACTGGAAGATTGTGCAAAAGGAACAAGTAACATGGCTGGCTGGTGAGTGGGAGTGCCAGCGAGGTGGGTGGGAGCAGGGAATGCGTGACTTAGGATGAGCCGGCACAAAGTGCTTCATGCCAGTTTCTTCTAATGATAACTTTCCTATGCACAGTGGAGGTAGGGAAGCCTTCCCATGGCAGGTGCCCTCCAGATATGCTTAATTGCATCCTCTCATCAGGGGCTGATCATTGAGTCAATGATCATGTAGTCTAGTACTACGTATTAGGAGGGGAACACTGGATTATGGGAAAGACTTACCTTCCAAATGACATGACATAAATTCTAGTCAGGGCGGTGTACTGGCACCTTTGCTTTCAGAAACTAGTAGCCTTTTACATTTTTTCCTGTTTTTTTATCTGAACATTTTAGTTGCTCTGAATGGTTTTCTTTGTCAGCAAAAGGAACTATGTACAGTGGACCCTTGACTTACAGACGGCTTGACTTACAGACTTCTCTGGCTGTAAAATTTAGGTTTGACTTGCAGACTGAGATTTGACTTACAGACCAGAAAAAAAAACCAAAATGGAACAAAAACGGCCTGTTACGGGATTAATCGGTTTTCAATGCACTGTAGGTCAATGGAGACTTGACTTACAGACTTTTTGACTTGAGAACCGCCTTCCAATACGGATTAAGTTCTCAAGTCAAGACCCCACTGTAATTGTGAACAGTATAACTTCCTACTGGTGCACAGCAGCAAAGCTATTTATGTTTGAATGAACTTGTACAATTTTTTTTTCTTTCAGCTTGCAGTGAGAGACAACAATATTGCAGAAATTACTGGTCTTCTTATTCGCCTTTCGAATAGAATAAGCCAACTTGGAGTGAGATACCAAAGGATTCTAGCGCTAGCAAATGATCTCCTTCAGAAACTAAAATGTGGACTTTAGTAATATTCAGTTTGGCCCAATAATCACAGTAACTAATCAGAATTGCTGAATGGATGGAGCTTTCCCATTAGGCATTTTCTTCCTGAAGTGTGAAAGATGTATCATTAGCAACTTGAAGCCTGAAATGTTGGGGAGGGGTGCTCCTCCCATTCAAACCTCAAGCTACACCTGCTGTCTCATTATTTGTATAAACAGTAAGTAAGAAATATTGTGAAAAACTTTGTTAATGATCTGATGGTAACAAGTGGTATTTTACTCTAATTTCCTCACTGTGCACACTGAGTAGGATGTAGCCATAACCTAGTGCCAGCCATGTCTAGGTCTTACCATCTAAAATGCAGCACAAAGTGAGAACCCATATAATTTGCACTGAAAGCTTTTCCTTATGTTTTTCAATGGTATTAAATTTAAGTGCTCTGTCATTGTTGAATGGAACTCTTTTCTTTCTTTGCCTTGAGAAAATTTTTTTAAACGTTACATGATTTATGGAGTGTTTCCAGACCAAAAGAAATGCTCTGTACATTCTACTTTGTGGGTTATAAGCCTCATCACGAGTGATGGTTGGGTATCCTTTTGAAGTGGATGCCTGCGTGATCAGTGACCAGTTGCTTCCTTCTATTTCTCTGCTCAAAAAGAAGTATATTTTGCTAAAGTCGCATTTGTCAGCAAGTGAGATTTTCTGAGGCAAAGTAGGCCATAGATCATCCTAGAACCACAGACCACCTTTCAGCAATGCCAAGAAAACTTTTGCAGTACAGAAATGGATTTTGTTTGATTTCTTCTTCATAGCACACCACTCTACCTCAGACCAGTTTACAAATTGTGTATAAAGCCATAATGTTCCAGCTTTGCAGCTTAAAAGTCTCAAGGGAGAAGAGGAATAGATCTGTCTGGAAACACATTGCTTTATCTATCTATTTATTTACAGAAAGACCTACTTTGCTGAAAGTCGACACTTGGATGTTTTCTCATTTCTGTGGCTATTTCACAGGCCTTTCATTGGAGACCTCCTTTGAATGTTGCTAATGAAAGTTTCATCTACATCTTGAATGACAGAATAAATTGTAGCAAACAGCTCAATGAAAAGATCTGAATATCACTATAAAAAGTGAAAGATACCTAACAGTGTCCACAATCCTGCTGCTTATCTAATGCGCACTAGAATAGGCCCATTGAGTTGGTGGATATTTAGTAAGTGAACACCTACTTACTGTGCTAAAGCAGATACTACACTAGAGTTGCAGCTAGAGTAGGCTCATTTGAATCAATGGAATTTAAAGAGGAGTTGATTCACTAAATTGTCATTGATTCACTGGGTCTACTCTAGTACTGTGGTAAGCAACAGGATTCTGGCCTTCATATGGCAGTGGTCTGTGTATGTAAATTGGTTGTTACTGAAACACACACACAACGACCAGTATCTGCCCACAAGTTCTTGAATGGAAAAAAAAAGACAAGGGAAAAGAAATGGGTGCATTTTTCCAATTTCTGTCCTGTGATATAGTCTTGATGTTTCCCTGCTTCAGCCTTTATGCTCTTAGGACCACAAAGGTGCTGTTAAGACATGTAAATTACGTTCATTGAAACACACAGTTTTGTCCTTTCCACCTCCAAGATGTCTAATGTTGGCCTAACTGCCGTCTGTTTCGTCCACTTATGCACATAAATTACCGTATTTTTCCATGTATAAAACAACACTTTTTCCTAAAATAATTAGAGTCAACCCTCCTTCCGGAACGGATTAAGTTTGTAAGTCGAAAAGTTCGTAAGTCGAATCAGCATTTCCCATAGGAATGCATTGAAAACCAATTAATCCATTCTTCCTGTTTTTGGTTCTTAGGTCGAGGGTTGGTTTGTAACTTGAATCATTAGTTCCCATAGGAACTAATGCAAAGCGGGTTAATCCATTCCTACTACTAGGGGTAGAATTTTTTTTCCCTTTTAACCTAAGATGACTTAGGTTTAAAAAAAGGAAAGGAAAGGGGGAGGGAAGAAGAGAACAGACACCTTTTCAACAGAACACCTTGAAAAGCACCTTTTCAGCCAAGACAAGCACCTTCTGGGAAAAACCAAGCACCTTTCAGACAACAGATCACCTTGAAAAGCACCTTTTCAATCAAGACAAGCAAATACAAGCACCTTTTGGGGAAAAGGGGGGCAGCAAAGGAGGGAGGGAACACCTTTTAAAAATCCAAAATTAAAAAAGGCAAAAAAATAAAAATACAGTCTGTACAGCACTATACCAGGCAATACCAGGCAGTCTGAAGACTGTCTCCAAATCCACTCTCAAAACACTGGGAAGAGCAAGGAAGCAGACAGGCACCCTCTTCACTGGCCAACGGTTAACTGAAAGTTCAAATTTCGCGCTTTCCCCACCTCCTGCGTGTTTTTTCTGGTTCGTAACTCGAATCTAAGTTTGCAAGTCGAGTCAATATTTTTCTATCAGAGCGGTTTGCAAGTTGAAATGTTTGTAACTAGAGCCATTTCTAAGTCAAGGGTTGACTGTAACAGGTTTGTTACAATGTCTGATTGGACACGAAGGCTTGCGCTTGGGTGCCTCTTGCTCCCGCCACTGTTGCCCAATTGCCTCTTCCAGAGCTTACGGCTTGTCCCCTCTGGTGGCCCCGAGGCAACAGCAGCAGCAGGAGGCAGAGATGGAGGCAAAGGGCATTCAGACACACTGGGGCGCCTCTTGCTGCTGCCTCCCCCTACCTGCCCAATCACCAACTCCAGCGAGACTGACGGGCTCAGCTCAGTTCAACTCCAGCAAGACTGACGGGCTCAGCTCAGTGACTGCCTTTTCCCCTCCCGTGGTGGAGGCAGCAGGAGGCAAAGGTAAAGGACCATTCTCATGCACTCTGGTGCCTCTTACTGCTGCCTCCCTCCACCTGCCCGATCACCGCTGCCTTGTCTCACGTTCTCACACGCTCTGGTGCCTCTTACTGCTGCCTCCCCCCACCTGCCCGATCACCGCTGCCTTGTCTCCTCCCGTGGTGGAGGCAGCAGGAGGAAAAGGCAAACAAGCACTCGTGCATGCTCGGGTGCCTCTTCCTGCCTTAGCAAAAAGGAAAGGGAGCAACGGCTCCCCTCCCCCCCCTTTTTTTGCTAAACTGTGCCTTCTCAAACGCTGAGGAAAAGCGGCAGTCACTTTGACAGCTACTTTACTTGCCTTTTGCCAAGGCATGGGGCTTAGCAAAAAAGGAGCCCTTTGATCCCTGCCTTTTCTAATTTGGGGTTAGGAAAAGGGGGGGTTCGTCTTATACTTTGGGTTGTCTTATACATGGAAAAATATGGTATAAGCCTCTTTTTAAAGTGTATTTATCCTGCCTGTTTCAGATTTTTCATTATGATCTTTTACAGTTCATTTCTCAGACATACTAGGAGGTTACTTTTTCAGTTTATCTAAATCTGTATATGTATTAGTATTCTACTGCTGTGGTACTTCTGTAGAGCAAAAATATGGGATAGATATATTTTGTGCATGCAGTCATCAGCAAACTGAAAAAAACAACATTTTGGCAGGTGCGACAAAGTGCATACAATTCACAGTAACATCAACATATGGGTCTATTTAAGTTCACCTACAAACTGGCTAATGCCTGAAAACCGATGTATTTTCCCCTTATAAGTGTATCCTGAATGTTGTAAAATACATGTTCATGGATGTGATTTCAAATGCTACGTTAGCAGAGCTTCTGAGAATTTGCTTTGGGGTGGTCCATTTGAGATCAAATGCCAAAATAGAGTTTCTCTTGCTTATTCTGGCTATCATCCGTTAACCATCTGTCTGACTATATAAAAGGCGTTAAAACATCTAGAGCCACTTTCTGAAGGGCTTAAGTGTACTCAAACTGACTGGGTCCTTTTAAAGAGGTAATATTGTATAGCTGACTTAGGCTAACACTGAAATCTTTGCCCGCCCCCACCTCAAAGCAACCCCAAATGCACATTCAGCTGGAAACAGCAAAGCTTCAGCAGTGTAGTTCCTACCACACTATCATCTTGCTTTAAATAATAATTTAAGCACTAAGGAAGGAAAAGAAAGCAATTTGGCAAATTCGTTTTGCTAAGGATTTGGCTTTTTGCCTGTTTATATATATTTTCCTTTTTGCCTGTTCTTTTGATTACTGATGTTCTATTTATTACTCTCAATAAACCCAGTAATCTGAAAAAGACTTGAGTGAAAAGTGTCAGCTATTATGTATTCCCAAATTATTACTGTTCACTGGGATATTACACAACATCCAACTTTCTGTGTTTCGTGCAGCAAGTCCATGTTTGAAGGAGCTGTGCTACTTCTAAAAACCTGTACAATTCTTCTTCCAAGTAGATGGTTTTGCAGATCTTGCATTTGTGTCCCATTAACCATGGTCTATTTTGTCTATACTAACATTTACTAACTGATGCAAACTTCTCTCTTCCCTGGTGATAGCAAACAGTCATCATGGAGAAACAAGGCCACAGTTTGTATACATAGTGATCGAGAACCTGTGTGTGATGTACTGGATAGTGATGAACTAGGACTCAGAAGATCTGAGTTCAACCCCCCCCCCCCCCAAACAGCCATACAAACTCCTAAGGTTGCAGGATTGGTATCTACCCCTTAATTATCTCACCTTGAAATCTCTATTAGGATCACTATAATGTGAATGTCACTAAATGGCATGTAGCATAACACATCACAGTTACATGGGCACACTCATATTTGTGGGTGGATTCAACAGTGTTCCATGGCATGGTGTTTTTGGTCAGGTGAAAGGTTATGTTCTTTGACAAGAGGAATTAAAACATGGCACAAAGAGAATACAACATTTTAAAGTGGTGGCATTTGTGGGCTATGTTCCAAGTTTTTATTTGCAATTGCTGCCAGATATATAGGAATTGTTAATTATGCAGCTGTTCGTTAATTGGGTTTTTAACTGTAGAAAGAACTAAACAAGGATAATCAAAACAGATAATAATGTGCTGAGTTTATGTCTACATTTTTTTCAGTATGGGGTCTGTATTGATCGAAGGGGTAATATCTGAATAGAGGAACTTGAATACATGACTAATAGATTTAGGAACCAAATAAAAATGACAAGGAAAATAAGTCAACAATGCCTGTATAGTGATACGTATATATTCAGTTCTTCAGAAAACCTGATTATCAATGGGATATAATGTTCTTCTGTATCTACAATTTCAAATGGAAATGGCCAGACTTTACACAGCAAAAGGCAGCCTGAATTTTAACACCCATGTCAGCACTCAAAACAGTCTACAGGATACCCTCTTGTGCTGAACTGTTCGCAAAGAGACACCAAGCAGGGGAAAATCCCAAGTTCTGACTCTCTTCATTAGTTAATTACTTTTCACCCAAACACAAAGCAATCCTCAAGGCTGTTTTTCAACATAATGTTGATTTGCTCTGCCAGCACAAGATCACTGGGTAGCAATAATGATTCCAAATGTAATCATGGGGGTGGGAACGAAAAAAGGGAAAAATTCAAAAGAAACAATAGGATGTTTTAAGTTTAAAAAAAACAGCTAAAGGAGATAGGAGGGAAAGCCAGTCTTCTTGCTAATTAAAGCAAGAGCAACCAAAATGAATGTGACCCAACTCCGGGAGGCAGTGGAAGACAGGAGGGCCTGCCGTGCTCTGGTCCTTGGGGTCACAAAGAGTCGGATACGACTAAACAACAATAACAACATTGGTTGAATTTTTGACTTTTCAGACTGGAGAGACCGTAGGCACCTCGGAGACTTAAACAGTGCCTAGCCCTTGAAGAACAACGTCACCAAAAGCCAGATCTCTGTAGCTCTCCTCATTCAATTCATGAAGAACTATACAGAAAGTAAGGGCAAGCAAATGCTTGTGAACAATTGTTTCTGGCATGTTCAACAGTAATGAAATAGCTGTTTTTCCTGTTTGAAAAAAGCCATTTTAAGTTATCAGTGTTTCTACAATTGCTGGGTGGATTTGATGCAAATAGAAAAAGGTGGGGCTAAGGTAATTACTGTTCTTTTAAGGTAAAAAAGGTATTTGGAATATATTTCAGCAGTTTCTTTTCTGCTGACAAAAATGGTCACCTATACAGTATCTGAATGCAGAACAAGGAAATTATGTCTATACTTTAAAAATAACTCTCAAACTATTCAATCAAGTGTCACCAAAGTTGGCACAGCAACATTAGATTGTCTACT